ACATTATAACACCCGCCAACCACCAACGTGCTCCTAGGGCCCTAGAGAGGGTAACATACAAAGAAAAGAAAGAGGAGAGAGATAAGGACAGTAGATGTTTGGAGGAAAAGAAGGAGCAAACCACACCAGGGCGCCCGCCAAGAAGCCGTCCCATAAGAACAGTTATTGTAGACAGAAGACAGGGACAATAGATGTCAAAAAGGCCAAAACGAGCAAACCACATCGGGGCACCCGCCAACAATCCATATGATGCTACTAGTGAGTGACATACAAAGAGAGAAAAAAAAGGAGGAGAGATGAGGACGATAGAAGCTTGATATGAGAAAAGGGCCTTTAGGAGCAAAGCACACCAGAGCGCTCGCAATCGCCTACATTTTTTTTTTTTTTTTTTTGGTAAGTGTTTTACGGCGCTGTCAACTGCATACGGTCCTTACGAGCGCGCGGGGCACACTAAACATTTTCAGTTGGTAGGAAATTGGGAATTTTGCCCGGGTGGCGGCCGAGCCTGCTCTTATCGATTTTGGACCAACAAGGGATCTTTAACGGGCGTAATTTGAGCACGGGACCGCCAAGATTTGTCGAGATTGTCCGAGAAGGCTAGGTGTAGATCTTTCTTACCAGAAGATCAGGGGTGTGACTGAAAGACAGCAGTAAGAAAGAGCCAAGGAGTAGCAGTAGAAAGGCTGCAGAAAGAGTCAGGAACCCAGAGGAGGGGGCAAAGGAGGTGAAGGAGAGGGGGGCAGAAAGTGGAAATGAAAGCAGATGACAGAACATTGTTAGACAGCAGGAAAGAATGTGAAAGGAGAAAATTGCAGAGAATAAAATGTTCCGTCGCTACCCGGATTCGAACCCGGGACCTATTGAATGAGAAGCGAACACCTTAACTTCTAGGCCACGAGAGCCCTCGCAACCGTCTAATAATAATAGATAGATAGCATTTGTATAGCGCATATCCCCGCTCAAAAGCAGGCTCTATGCGCTTTACACTATATTATTACCCCAGCAGACCATAGTACACTCCGAAACATTCTCAGCTTCCCGGGAAGCATACATTATGACAGTTGTTGTGCCGCTAGATGCTTTCTCTTTACTTAAAAAGAACAAACGAGACACCTTCCTTAAGCAGCAGTACTTGCATGACGTAACAAGTCACCCGCACCTCCACCACCCCCCACCC